TATGAAGAACAGCAGTTTCCATGGTTTTAGGTTGTAGTGCACTACCAACTCCCAACATTTTCAGTAAGTGTCAGGTATGTGTATAAATATTTGTACCTAAGAATAAACACTCCACATACCGGCTGATGCACCACAGTCTTGTTGACCACTGATAGTTGGCAGATAATTCTAAACCCACAGACTTAATATTTAATTGTGAATAAGGCAATTAAAATGCTGTGTCCCTCTCTCTTTCCCACACACACCTCCCACAGCATTCTGCAGCTCATCCACACAGCTGGATGTAGGTGCATAAAACAGCAGGGAGGAAAGTTCTCTGTTTATCTAAAATGTAAAACATTCACAGTTTTGCATGTTGAAAGGCTGACAGGAAATACAGGTGTCATCTGACTGACTATTCAGTGCAGACCATCTGACTTCATAGTTACTTTGACAGACAACTTGATGACATTATCATGGGATCCCTCAAAAAAAAAAAAAAAAAAGTCACTGTCACCATACTCCCTGTTGACAACACACAGCCACTGGCCTACATTTACTTCCCTACGCTTCTGCCAGGAACCACATGTGAGTCAACTCAGATGGACATCAATCAGCACAGGCAAATTGACTTGGACAGACATAAGTCAGATTCAATGGTTGCTCCCAAGGCTCCTTTCTGCTACCCAGCACCTGCACACTGACTGCTCAGCGACTGCCATGGCTCTTCGGCCTGTGCCTGTCCAGTATAACCAGTCTGCGACAGGAGCAGCAGGCTCATACCCATCACCACCATCTCTGTTCGATACTGCTGCTCTAACATGGACACAATGCTGTGCGCCTAACAGTGCGAACAGTTTGCCAATTTTACATATACATGCAGGTCTATGTATGTGTATACACATACATATCCAAACTTCTAATTCTACACTTGCTCTTCATCCTCACACTGGAAGGAGGTCTGACGGTGAGTTTTGGAGACCTCAGCATTTTGACCTTTAAGCAGGAGGGGGGTTCATAAAGCACCATCTAGCAGGGATGGTATTCCCCTCCATTAACGTTTTTTTCCTGCAACATAGCCTGGACACCATCAGAGGTGAGTGAAGCACGTAAGGTCTACTGTAGTTATGCAATTCAACCATAAACACATAAGTCCTCTTTCACACCAAGGCAGAGCATACACATTAATAGTATAACTTGAGCAAAGGGGTCACCCTAATACTAATGTTGCTCATAGAGATGAATCCTTTGATGAAGCCCACATCAACAACGGTGCTTTGGCCTGAGGCACATGGATTTCACATTTGAGTAACAGGAGGAAATACAGCAAATTATGTTAGAATATTCTAGTTCTCAAAAAAACCCGGTGGACTTACATCAGCACTTGTGCATTTTTGTTCACTGTTAACTACTCAAAACTTTGCCACTGCCTGGGCAGATCGGTAGGGAAAATCCTGAGGTGGGGTACTCAAAAGTCATTTGCACATGCTAATGAGCCACGTAAGTTAGAGAGTCTGACAAAACAAGTCGCACTAAATCACATCAGCAGAGCCCACGATAAATTATTACTGCGCTTAATTAGCGCCTGCGGAGGGGGAGGGAGCAACCAGCAAAACTTTTTAACCTCGGCCG